CACAGTGGCAACACGGATCATCGAGGCGCTGGATGTGCCCTGGGTCGTGCTGCTCTCCATGGACTCCTTCTACAAGGTGAGGGCTGGGATCAGGGCAGCACAGAGCTGCAGGCAGTGCCAGCACATCCGGGGGTCTGGCATGGCAGTGATGGGATCCGGGGGCTCTGGCATGGCACTGAGTGGGTGACGGAGCGTGCAGGGGCTGGCAAAAAAAAAGACTACAACTTCGACCACCCTGACGCCTTCGACTTTGAGCTGCTCGTCAGTGTCCTCCGCAAGCTCAAGAAGGGCAAGAGCGTGAAGGTGCCGGTGTATGACTTCACAACGCACAGCCGCCGCCGGGAGTGGGTGGGTGCCACGGGGGAGCTGGGATGGGCACTGGAAGGGCTGGCTGGGTGAGCCCTGGGAAAGGGGGATGTCTGTGGGCAGGGGTAGGGAGTGCAGGGGCTGTGGGGCCTGGGAGAGCAAAGGGAGGGAGGGGTTCCAGGCATCACAGGTGTGTGTGTAATTCTGGGGATTTGATGTGTGGGGGCAGGGAGGGGGCACAGAGATGTGGAGATGGATATGGAAATGGGGGCGAGTGCAGGGTTCAGGGAGAGGTTGTAGTGGGAAGCATGGGGTGCAGGGAAGGAAGGAGCTGGAGGGGAAGGCAGAGGTTTGGGGCTCTGGAACAAGGCTCTGTGTCAGTGCAGGGCCAAGATATCAAGTGTGTGGATCAGAATAAGGGCCCTTAAAGGTTGAGTGGTGCAGAATGGTTATGAGGATTGCTGCCCACAGGTGGCAAGAGCCCAGCATGGGTCAGGGGCTGAGGGCTTTAAACTGACAGAGGGTAGACTTAGATGAGATATAAGGAAGAAAATAAATTCTTCCCTGTGAGGGTGCTGAGGCCCTGGCACAGGTTGCCCAGAGAAACTGGGGCTGCCCCATCCCTAGCAGTGTTCAAGGCCAGGTTGGACGAGGCTTTGGGCACCCTGGTCTAGTGGAAGGTGTCCCTGTCCGTCCGTGGCAGGGGGTTGGAATGCTTCCCACCCAAACCATTCTGTAACTGTGCTGTCTGTGCCAAGCGCTGGCCTCGTTGCAGCGTGTGTGAGGAGGGCAAGCACAGCTCTTATCTGCCCACAGAAAACAGTGTATGGGGCCAACGTCATCGTCTTTGAAGGGATTCTGGCTTTTGCGAACAAGGAGCTGCTGAAGGTATTGCTCGCTGCCTGATGTGGCTGGTGGCCCATCTTGGTCTGTGGCATGGCAGGAGACGTGCAGTGGTGTGCTGCAGTGGGATGGGTGCTGGCCTGGCCTGGCCTTTGGTGCTGCTGAGTCAGGGTGGTGGCTGGGGGCTGCCAAGGGGGAGGTCACACCCCACTTGCTGGCAGAGCCCCTCCACGTCCAAGGCTTCAGGGGAGGCAGCACAGGGTGTCCTCACCATGGGGGTCAGACCTGGCTGAGCTGTGGATGGGGAATGAGGCAGGTCTGGTGGGGGGCTGCATAAGGGGTGCTCACTCTTCCCAGTTTTCCAGCTTCTGGACATGAAAGTGTTTGTGGACACGGACTCTGACATACGGCTGGTGCGGCGGCTGCAACGCGACATCATGGAACGTGGTCGCGATGTCGCGGGTGTCATCAAGCAATACAACAAGTTTGTGAAGCCATCCTTTGAGCAGTACATTGAGCCCACTGTGCAGGTTGCCGACATCGTGGTGCCCAGGGGTGAGACTGCTGCATTTGCCAGACCTGACCCCTGCTCCGGCAGCAGGTGTCCTAGGATGACGTTGGGTTAGTGTGCCTCTGACCCAACTTCTCATCTCTCCTGTCAGGTGGGGAAAACTTTGTGGCCCTGGACCTCATTGTGCAGCATGTGCACAGCCAGCTGGAGAAGGTGAGCTCTGGGCTGTTTGATTACTGCTAGTGCAGGTGAGGAGGAGGATTCTGCACACAGCCCTGTGCTCCTGGAGCGTGCAGAGGGGCTCGGTGTCACCTCTCTAAAAAAGGTCTTGAGGCAGACAGAGCTGTGACACAGGGGCTGGGGAAACTGGGATAGGTCTGGGTGCAGTGATGCCTGGCACTTGCAGTCTGGCCTGGTCTCATTCACATGCTGTTGTCCTGGAGAGCTCTTCTGATCTCAGCTCTCCCCACCCTGCTCATTCTGGCTGTGCCTCGTCAGTCTGCCCTTGCCTCCCTAGCTGTGGTTTTCATGCTCTGGGTTTAACCCCAGGAAAAGGGGTGGGAACTGGGCCAGGGCTGCTGTGGGTGGTTGTGCCTGGTGCAGTGACTGTGTTCCCTTTCCTTCCCCTCTTGCCGCATTGGATGACTCTGCTCCACCACCCAGCGTGAGATCACTGTCAGGTACGTAGAGACCCTGCCAGCCACAGAGGGGCTGGTTCCTGGGCTGGGGGGTGGAGGGCCACCAGCACCAGCTCTTCCCTGAGTCCTGCCTTTTCTTGTCCCTGCTGGCCAAAGCTTTGCTGAGGTGTCTGAGCATAGCTGCTCTTCCTCAACTGCCTAGGTGGCTGCCCCACATGCAGCTTCTTGGGGGTCATCACGCTGTGGCTGCAAGCTCCTGTGTGACCTGCCCCACAGCAGCTATGCTTGACTCATGTGACCAATGCCCTGCCTTGTTCCCATCCCTTTCTGGAGCACAGCTCCTGTTCTACTTGTTGAATTGTCCCAGGCTGCTCCCTTCTATGGCAGAAGGGCCCTGAACAGTCCCTGTTCTCTGGGACTTCACGTCGCCTTAAAGGGACAGTCCTTGTAGCTCACTGTAACATGGGCAGCCCAGTCCCAGGGTACATAGCAAGGTCTTCGCATGCAGAGGTGCTGCTCCTGCTCCCTGGGTGCTGGTGTAGAGGCTCATGTGTACGTGGGCTGCTGACAGCTGGATACGTGGTCAGGGCAGGTTTGCCCCACTTCTATGGGTTGGTACTGCTTTGGGATCTCATACCTTGTACCAGACTTGGGGCTTTCCTGGGGATCAAGGCAGGAAGACCAAAGCACTTTCTGGTGTCCAGCCTGTGCTGTAGGTTCTGTGGGAGGAGCCTTCCTTTGATCAGGGACCATGTCCCACTCTGGGGTGGGTCCAGCACGGTGGCTCTGTGTGCCTGTGCTGTGCAGCTCTAATCACTGCTGCCTCGTTGCAGGGCAGCTCTGGCCTCTGCCCACCAAGGGCAGCCTCTGCCAAAGACGCTGAGTGTCCTGGAGAACACTCCGCAGGTGCGAGGCATGCACACCATCATCAGGTAGGTCCCTGCCTCCTTTGGGGTTCCCTTTCTGCAGAAAGGCTGTTCTGTAGGATAACGCTACAAAACCTGGTGTCAGTTTTCCCTCATCTGCCTTAAGGGCTTCAGACATAGGAGTTTTCTTGGGAGGAGCAGCAGGACTGAACAGAGCTGACTCCACCCTACAGACAGTTTTTTGGCAACAAACCCTCGGCATGTCTGCTCTGGGGTGACTTTAGAGCTATGGGCAGGCTTTTCTTATGATGGGAGGAGACTGGTTCTTTGCTAGCTGGAGCACAGGCATAGTAGCTGGTGACACGGGGTGAGGTGCCCTCACTGCCCCTCTCCGGAGGCACTTGGATTTAGAGCCAGCTTTACAGAAGGCGCCCAGGCTGCTGCTTCCATGACTTGATCTTTTCATTCCTCACCAATGCTCCTTTTTTCTAGTTGACAGTAGCACTAGTGTAGGGTCAGGAGCTGAATCCCATGGGACCACTAAAGACCCCAGTAACCCTCGTTACTGTGGTTGGAGAAGCTTAAAGCCTCTGTGTGTGTTTCCTTGCTTGGCCTGTAAACCAGGAAGGGGATGCTGAGCTCAGCAGGACTCTCCTGTACCTGCTCACACTGTGGCTGGCTACCAGCACCCCTGTGTTGGTTTGGAGAATGTAAACATGTGACTACATGCAGGCGGTGCCCCTCCTGGTAGGAAGCAAGATGTTCCTTCTCCAGGCTCCTCCTGTGACTCCTCCCTGTGGCAGCACAGACTCCAAGGGCCATTCACAGCAGTAAAAACCTGGTGATGTGGCACCTTATGCTCACTAGGCAGAGGCCTGTAGCAGTGTCTGAAGGCCATATGTCTCCCCACTAGGCTGTGCACTTCTAGTAGCTCTGAGTTCAGGTCACTACAGGAACTTTGGAGCAGATATGACTCTGTCCCTCCAGCGTCATCTTGCACTGCTGTGTCATCAGCTTCCTCATGGCCTGAGCCAATTTGTCTAGCTCATCCGCTGGCTGCACTCAATGGTAGATGAAAGTGGAAGGGAGATCTTGGGGAACAGCACCTCCAGGGGCTGAATGTTGTTTGCTTGCAAAGGAGCAGTTTCCCTTTCCTGGGGTCATGCAGGGTGAGAAGAATGCCAGCCTTTGTGCAGCAGCCTGCCCATCTCTAGCCTTCCTGCTCATAGACTCTGGCAGGGACTTTTTACCTATGGCTCCTCCTGTTCCCCCGGGAGAGCCAACAGCATGACACTGGTGTGTGCTCTCTCAGAGGAGTGTGAGCAGTGCCACAGGCCAAGTTGAACCAGCCCATGTCCAGAAGGGACAGCACCATGGACAGGCATTGGATCCTCTCTCACCTGTAGCTGCTGTTCCCCTCTTCCTCCTTGAAGTCTGTGTTCCTTTGTCTTGCTGGGAGCGGTGTGTCATGCCTCTGCCTTTATGCCACAATCTGCTTGGATTTAGGAGTTTGTTCAGCTGCCCTGGGAGGGAGGAAACCAAACCCATGCGGGCTGTGGTCAGAGTCCAGCAGCACTGCTGATCTCGAGTTACTATACTGGAGCTGAGCTCCTGGAGCTGGTCGGTGTGTGCGGCAGAAGGCGGACTTTGCCTTTTCCAGATGGTAAATGAAAAATAACCATGCTTATGAGGGGCGTTGACTTGGCCTGTCAGCCACCCCCTCAAATCCTGCTGCAGCCCAAGAAAGCAGGGGAAGCTGAGGAAGTGCTGTTACCAAGATCTCTAAGCTAAGGAACTCACTCCTGTATTTGGTGACAGCAAGGCAGCTTGTGTGCCTGGTGCTTGTAGGTGATACTTGGCAGTGCTCACTTGGTTCTGCATGACTTCAGCGTGGTGTGGGGCTGTTAATGGTTTTCACATGTGATCCTCTGGGCTTCCCTCTGCTCCAGAGGCACTGCTTCCTGCCCACTGAGGTTCTCCTATGCTCCCTGGAGAGGTCCAGACTGGCAGGGGATCAAATGCACAGCTTTTGCCAAGCTTCCCACACCTCTGTGCGTGACGTTACTGTCCCTTGGCAAATCTGATGTCATCTTCATTCCAGTTGCTGCGGTGCCATCAGCCCCCTTCCACAGTGGGAACCCTTCTGGGGTGCTGGTGTTCCCACCGGTACTGCCTTTTGGAGTGCCTTGGCACACCAAACCTGGCATCTATGGATGTGCCAGGGAACTGTGAACCAGGATTTCCCTCCAGGCTCCTTTCTTCCATCCTGTCTTCCCCAGTGCAGCTCCCTTGGATGCAGCCTGTTGATCTTGGCTTGCCATGCTGCTGCCAGCCATCGTGGTTTCCCTGTTGTTCAACACTGGAGGCTCTTCTGTGATTCAGCCTTCTGTCTCTGAGGGCCCTCCTGGAAGATTATGTTGTGGCAGCAGATGAGCATCTCGTTGAGTATAGTCATGGCAAATTCAGGCTTGGCATCTCAGGGAGAAGTGGTTCCCAAGCAGGGAGAAGTGGTTTCCAGAGCAATTTTCTCTTATCCTAGAGAGGCAGGAACCAAAACATAGTCCTACACTAGAACAGCTGAATTACTTTATTCATGATCAGTCTGAGTATCATAAAATGACAGAACAGTTTGGCTGGAAGAGACCTTAAAGCTCATCTGGATCCAACACCTGCCACGGACAGGGACACCTTCCACTAGACCAGGTTGCTCCAGGCCCCGTTGAACCTGGCCTTGAACACTGCCAGGGATGGGGCAGCCCGAGCTTCTCTGGGCAACCTGTGCCAGGGCCTCACCACCCTCATAGTAAGAATTTCTTCCTAGGATCTCGTCTTAATCTCCCCTCTATCAGGTTAAAGCCATTCCCCCTTGTCTTGTCCCTACAGGCCCTTGTCAAAAGTCTCTCTCCAGCTTTCTTGACAGCCCCTTTGGGCACTGGAAGCTGCTCTAAGGTCTCCCCTGAGCCTTCTTTTCTCCAGGGTGAACCAGCCCAGGTCTCTCAGCTGGTCTTCAGAGCAGAGCTGCTCCAGCCCTCGGAGCATCTTCATGGCCTCCTCTGGACTCACTCCAACAGCTCCACATACCTCTTGTGTTGTTGCCCACAGAACTGGACACAGGACTGCAAGGGGGGTCTCACCAGAGCGGAGCAGAGGGGGAGAATCCCCTCCCTTGACCTGCTGGTCACGCTGGAAGCCCAGGTGATGCAGCCCAGGACACGGTTGGTTTCTAGGCTCAAGCACACACTGATGGGTCATGTTGAGCTTCTGATCAGCCAACACCCCCAAGTCCTTGTCCTCAAGGCTGCTTTCAATCCAGTCTCCTCCAGCTGGTATTTGTGCTTGGGACTGCCTTGACCAAGGTGTAGGACCTTGCATTTGGCCTTGTTGACCTTCACAAGGTTTGCACTGTCCCACCTCTCCAGCCTGTCCAGGTCCCTCTGGATGGCATTCCTTCCCTCCAGCGTGTCGACTGCACCACACAGCTCAGTGTCATCAGCAAACTTGCTGAGGGTGTGCTTGATCCCACTGCCCGTGTCGCTAACAAAGATGTTAAACAACACTGGTCCCAGTACTGACCCTGAGGAACACCACTTTTCATTGGTCTCCACTTGAACATTGAGCTGTTGACCTCAACTCTTTGGGTGCAACCATCTAGACAATTCCTTATCCACCAAATGGTCTATCCATCAAATTTATGCCTCAGCAGTTCATAGACAAGGATGTTGTGTGGGACAGTGTCAGATGTCTTGCACAACTGCAGGTAGATGGTGTCAGTTGCTCTTCCCTTATCCAGCAACACTGGATAAGCCCCATCATAGAAGGCCACCAAATACATCAGGCATGATTTGCCGTTACTCAAACCATCTTGCCTGTCTCAAATCACCCCCTTATTGTCCATGTGCCCTAGCACAGTTTCCAGGAGGATCTGCTCCATGATCTTGCCAGGCACTAAGGTGAGACTGACCTTGGATCTTCCTTTTTTCCCTTTCTAAAAATGGGGGTTAGATTTCCCCTTTTCCAGTCAGTGGGAACTTCACTGGACTGCCATAAGTTCTCAAATATGATAAATAATGGCTTGGCAACTTCATCTGCCAGTTGCCTTGGGACTCATGGATTCATCTTATCCAGTGCCACGGACTTGTGCTCCTTAGGTGACCTTGAGCCTGATCATCTCCTATAGCAGGCAGTTAATTCTCCCAGTCCCTGCCTTTGCCTTCTTCATCTTGGGTGGTGTGGAGCTCTTACTGATGAAGACTGAGGCAAAAAAACTCATTGAGTATCTCAGCCTTCTCCATGTCCTGGGTAACCAGGTCTCCTGTTTCCTTCTGGAGAGGGCCCACATTTTCCCTTGTCTTCCTTTTGTCACCAATGTACCTATAGAATAGAATGGACAGTGTAATAATGCTATGAGTTATATCTTCCAACTTACAAGATGTTTTGGTATCTGGTCCAGATCACCAGAGTCAATTGGAGCATTTTGTGCCACCCATCAGGACTCTGTTTCACCCAAACAGTCCTTTCTGCACCTGAACATCTCTCAAGCATCTTGCACTCTCTTTGCCTCAGGAGAATGGCATTTCCTTTCCATCGCTTGTATCTTGGTACCCACATGCTCATGGAAAGGCTCCAGGACATCCATCCCCTGCAGCACAGCCTGTGCGTGGTGTGGGTCACCCACCTCTCAGCAAGTTTGGTCTGGCCTGAGCCTTTGGACTTTGTGCTCCAGCAGGACACGTCATCCTGTGCTGGAGCTGCCCTTGAGAAATGTGATGTTGTTGGTGCTTCAGTGAGGGGCAGAGTGAGGCGTTTCCTGCATGCCAGGAAGTTGCCAGCACCACAGAAGGTGGTTCAGATGTGAAACCTGTCTATGCTCAGGTTTCCTGGGGGCCTGAGTGTTACGGCTGACTTTCAGCTACAGATGCTCCTGTTCATGAGCTAAGCCAATGCTGTGTTCAGGCTCCAAGACAGATGCTTGCTGGTCCCTGTCAGGCCACCCAATGCTTTTCTCCTGTCTCCTACAGGGAAGACTGGGATCCTAGGGAGCTGCTGGCTGCTGTGCCTTGCTGTGGATTCCCAGCTCGCTGGGTTGTACATGCTGTGTGTGGTTTGGCTGCACCCTCCATTGAGGGGCTGGGCAGCACCTGAAGCAGTGTGTGCTCTTGGGCTTTGCCTGGGTGATGGCAGGAAGGTGCTGTGAGGCAGTGGGGTGAGCAGGTCTGGTGTCCCTTTGGGAGCACTCTTGGCACAGAGGCACTGCTGTAGCGATCCCATTCTCTGACCACTGTAGGGAGGGTCTTCCACTGTTGCCAAAGAATGTTAGGGCTGTCCTCCCTTGAAGCACCCCTTCCCCTTGCATAATTGGCAGTTGCTTGTCCCTGGGTCCAGAGAAGTTCCTTGGTTGTCTTTATCACTGCACAAAAAGGGAGGCACACTGGGGCCTTCGCGGCACAGGGACCGAGGCTGGTCCTCCATCCCTGATGGATACATCCTCCGTTATCACTCTCTACAACTACTTGAAAGGAGGATGGAGATTAGTGGTGACTGGTCTCCCAAGTAACAAGTGATAGGACAGAGGAAATGGCCTCAAGTTGCACCAGGGGAGGTTTAGACTTGATATTGGGAAAGATTTCTTCACTGAAAGGACAGTCAGGCATTGGAACAGGCTGCCCAGGGCGGTGGTCAAATCACCATCCCTGGAAGTGTTCAGAAAGCACATACATGAGTGACATGGTTTAGTAGTAGAATTGGCAGTGCTGGGGTAATGGTTCACTTGAGATTAAAGATGTTTTCTAATCTGGTTAGTTCTATGATTCTATGATCATCAGGATGCCTTGTGGAGGCTGTGGAGGATTCTGCCTCTGTGGGAGCACCAATGGGCCTGTCCCATGCAGGTCGGGCTGGTTGGGGCATCCAACTGCCCCTGTCCATGGCAGAGCAGCCCCATGGCTGGTGTGGGGCTTGTCAGGAGTGACTGCCTGTGGAGGCAGGGCTGCTGCAGGCTCTGTTCCTGGAGCTCCGTGGTGCTTCCAGAGCTGCTGTGGGTGAGCACGTGGGTGAAGCCCATGTGTGGGGAGCACACATGCTGACAACCCACGCTGAGGAGCTGTAGGCCTGACACCTGTTTCTTCCAGGCCAGAGCTGATTTTACAACTTCTCAGCAGTGCCTTGCTGTCCCCAGGCTTGTTGGGAATGTCCACGTTGGGTTTTCTGGTCATTGCAGAGCTCTCAGGAGTGGGTTACCCAGGTGGCTTCAGAAATATCTCAGATAGTTGTGACTGTTTATCTTTCTGAGCACTGTTGGCTGGGCTGTCCGTCATTGTGGAGAGATGTGAGAAGTGGCAGATGATATTTTAAAATACAGAGTAAAAATATTCAATATCCTTCTGCTGCTTTTGGTCTGTTGCCAGATCCACCTCTTCTATCTGGAAACTGGCAAATGTCTGTAGGGTTCCTTTGTTCCTTACATCCTCCAGAACATACCAGGGGTATACGCAGGCTGTGCTGCTTTAGACACAGGTCATAGAAGAGAAAACAGATTTCAGCTGCGTTTTCTTAAAGACACTCCTTCATTGTCAGTCTGCCCTTGGTTGTTGTTCAGCCAGGGAGCCAGAAGCGTGTTCTTAGAGTTCTCTACTAAAATGCCCCTTACGTTACAGCCTGCTACTGACTCTTTTGTCAAAGCAGCCACAAACTGAGAGAGGTTTATATGAATGTTGGTGGGGTCTTTATGGTCACATATCAAACAACAAGCAAATCCCAGATTCTGCTCCTTTCCTGCCGAGTGATTTCTTGCTGTAGGTACTTTGCCTTCAGGCACTTGACCCTGACAGTGCTGGTGGAGAAGCTGTTCCATTCACCTGGAAATACCCCGCGTAATACAGGACAGGGACAGTCCTGCCTGTCATTACGTGGAGCTCTGTACACACTTGTGTTACTGTGCTTTGAGATCCATGTGTTGCAGGAAATGCAAGGTTTTGTGCAGTGGTTTCTTCTGTGTGGTGAACAAGTTCAACTACAACACATATATGTGCTGATGGTCAAAATGCTGCCCATAGGAAAAGCTGGCCTCTTCCCCCTCTGCCCAGCAATGGAACTAGTGTGTGGGCATGTACAGTTGGGTTTCTCCTCCTGAGGGAGAAGGGAAGGTTTCCTCTTAATTACAGCCCCATTGTGGTTTTATTGCTTTTTATTTATTGTATTTCTTGCTGCCCTCAGCACTTCTGGGTTGCGGTGAGATAATGCCAGGTATTTCAAAATCTGTCTGGTTCCTGGCAGTAGTTTATCTCTAACTTGGCACAGAAATGGAGAGGAGTTGAGAACACATCAAGTGTTTTCCCATCACTGGTGTCAGCTAACCCAGATGCTCTTGGCTGTGGTGCTTCTGTGTAGAGGTTTTTCCCGGAGCCGCTGTGCTGCTGTGCCGTGGTCTGTCCTGGCGGTGCTTCTGTCCTGCCTTGTGCTCCCCTGGCAGGGCCCATGCAAACCCTTGCTGCTTGTTCCTGCGTCTCTGTTGCCGCAGGAACCGATGGTGCTGCCTGACATTGTGTTGCTGTTGTCCCCTGTTTCTCTCCTGGCTCTTTCCACATAGTCAGCAATTATGTCCTCAATCTCCAGCCTTGCAAATCCTCCAGCAGAGATTCAGCAGCAATTAGAGGTTGTGCTCAGAGCGAGTAATGCGGTGCCTCTGTGCTTGTCTCTCAAGCACCTGCCTCATCTCTGCTCAGGTCAGGGCGTACATTTACACCAGGCTGCTGATGTTATGCTCACTTATCCCTCCTTTTTGCTGTTGGCTTCATTCCCTTTGCTAGTCCAGCTAGCCCACCGTGTGTAGTCAGCTCTGAACTGTCCCCCATGTCCCAAAGAGGATTGAGCAGCATCATGTGGCATCCTTTCACTTCATCCAGTCTGCATGATCTGCTGTATGCTTTATATCCCACTTCCAGAGGAACCGAACACTATTTTTGACTGTATGGTCCTTTCTAGACAGCACCATGGGTCTCCAGCAAGCCCAGAAACATCGGTAATTACTGTATCTCCTTCCTCAGTAATTACCATGTCTCCTTCCTGAGAGCTTCCAGGTTCCCACTGGCTGCTCTCTGTTTGCACCATCCTTCCTCTGGAGCACTGTTTGCCATGGACTCTTCATTAGGGACTCTAGTGGTAGGACAAGGGGTAATGGGTTTAAACTTAAACAGGGGAACTTTAGGTTAGAGATGAGGAAGTTCTTCACAGTGAGGGTGGTGAGGCACTGGAATAGGTTGCCCAAGGAAGTTGTGAATGCTCCAACCCTGGAGGCGTTTAAGGCCAGGCTTGAGAGAGCCTTGGATGACATAGTGTCGTGTGTGGTGTCCCTGCTCATGGCAGGGGGGTTGGAACTAGATGATCTTAAGGTCCTTTCCAACCCTAACTATTCTATGATTCTATGTGGTGGAGCAGAGATTCTGCTTTCATCTCATGCAGGCATCTTCCCTCAACAGGAACAAGGACACAACCAGGGATGAATTCATCTTCTACTCCAAGCGCCTGATGCGGCTGTTGATTGAACATGCCCTCTCCTTCCTGCCACTGAAGGTGAGCTCCTGGGCCACATCTCCCCCTCCTGAGCCCCTGGGCCTTGCAGGGCCCAGCTTCCACCACACTCCCTTCTTCTTCCTTTCTGTAGTCGGTCACTGTGGAGACGCCTCAGGGGACAACGTATGAAGGGAAGCGGTTCCACAGGCAGAGGGTGAGACATTGTCCTGGTCCCTTTTTCCCCATGAGCACATGGCTGCCCCATCTTGGGTCAGCATGGACTGGGAAAACCTGGTGGCTTCACGGTCTGTCCCTGTGCAGATGTGCTACTTCCCTCTCCTGCAGCGCCGGAGCCTCGGGAGCTCACCAGAGAGGCTGCTTCCCCTGCACAGTGCCAGGCAAAAGTGTTCTCATCTCTTCCCCAGATCACAGGCGTGTCCATCCTGCGAGCAGGGGAGACCATGGAGCAGGCCCTTACTGCTGTGTGCAAGGACATCCGCCTGGGCAAGATCCTCATCCAGACCAACCATGACACGGGGGAGCCCGAGGTGAGCAGTGCCCGTGCTCCAGCATGGACCCCCCGGCACCATGCGGTGGGTGGGTGACCGCTTCTCCTTCATTTCACAGCTCCACTACCTGCGCCTTCCCAAGGAGATCAGTGAGGACTACGTCATCCTCATGGACAGCACCGTGTCCACAGGGGCCGCGGCCATGATGGCAGTGCGCGTCCTGCTGGTGAGGGGACGGGGCAGCAGAGCACAGGGTGGGATTGACATGCTGACTGGGTCTCACGGCTCCATGTGCTGCAGGATCATGACGTGCAGGAGGACAGGATCTTCCTGCTGTCACTGCTGATGGCGGAGATGGGGGTGCACTCCGTGGCCTATGCCTTTCCCCGTGTCCACATCATCACCACCGCTGTGGACAAGCGGATCAATGAGGAGTTCCACATCATCCCGGGCATCGGTGAGGACAGGAGAGGCAGGGCTGGGCTCTGGTCCCTCACCCCAGCTGCCTGGTTGGGGCTCTGAGGCTGCACTGAGGGAGCCCTGGGAGGGGACTGCAATGGGGCTGGTGCTGCCACTGCCTCACTCTGTCCCCTCATCCTCCAGGTAACTTTGGGGACCGATACTTCGGCACTGATGGCCCCTCTGCCTGGTGCGAGAGTGACGTCATGGACTGCTGAGCTGGCTGGCCATAAGGCCACCA